GACTCCACACCCCAAAATCTGCCATTTTTCACCCCAAACTCCTCTTTTCACCCCCAAATTGGCCCCTCTTCACCCCAAAATCTGCCGGTTTTACCCCAAATCTGCCACTTTTCACCCCAATTCTGACCCTTTTCACCCCAAATCTGCCCTTTTCACCCCAAAATCTGCCCTTTTCACCCCAAATTGGCCCCTTTTCACCCCAAAATCTGCCACTTTTCTCCCCAAATCCGACCCTTTTCACCTCAAATCTGCCTTTTTCACCCCAAATCTGACTCCACACCCCAAAATCTGCCGGTTTTCCACCAAATCCGACCATTTTCACCCCAAAATTCCTCTTTTCACCCCCAAATTGGCCCCTTTTCACCCCCAAATCTGCCTTTTTTACCCCAAATCTGTCTCCAGACCCCCAAATCTGCCCTTTTAACTCTCAAAACTGCAAATTTCACCCCAAAATCTGCCATTTTCACCCCAAATCTGCCCCTTTTCACCCCCAAATTCCTCTTTTCACCTCCAAATTGGCCCCTTTTCACCCCAAATCTGACTCCACACCCCAAAATCTGCCTTTATCACCCCAAAATCTGCCTTTTTTACCTCAAAACCTGATTTTTTTACCTCAGAAATTCCTCCCCAGGCTCCAAAAATCTGCATTTTTACCTCAAAATCTGCATTTTTAACCTCAAAATCTACAATTTTTACCTCAAAAGCTGCAATTTTTACCTCAGAATCTGCATATTTACCTCAAAATCTGCATTTTTACCTCAAAACCTACAATTTTTACCTCAGAAATTCCTCCCCAGGCCCCAAAATCTGCATTTTTTGCCCAAAATCTGCCCCCAGGCCCCAAAAATCTGCATTTTTTATCTCAAAATCTGCAATTTTTACCCCCAAATCTGCATTTTTACCCCAAAAATCTGCCCTCAAACCCCCAAAATCTGCATTTTTAACCCCAAAAATCTGCATTTTTACCTCAAAACCTGCAATTTTTACCTCAGGATTTCCTCCCCAGGCCCCAAAATCTGCATTTTTACCCCAAAAATCTGCATTTTTACCTCAAAACCTGCAATTTTTACCTCAGGATTTCTTCCCACACCCCAAAATCTGCCCTTTTCACCCCAAAATCTGTCCCCAGGTCCCAAAAATCTGCATTTTTAACCTCAAAATCTGCATTTTTAACCTCAAAATCTACAATTTTTACCTCAAAAGCTGCAATTTTTACCTCAGAATCTGCATTTTTACCTCAAAATCTACAATTTTTACCTCAAAATCTGCATTTTTACCCCAAACTCTGCAATTTTAACCTCAAAATCTGCATTTTTAACCTCAAAATCTACAATTTTTACCTCAGAAATTCCTCCCCAGGCCCCAAAATCTGCTTTTTTCACAGCAAAATCTGCCCCCAGGCCCCAAAAATCTGCATTTTTACCTCAAAATCTGCAATTTTTACCTCAAAATCTGCAATTTTTACCCCCAAATCTGCATTTTTACCCCAAAAATCTGCCCTCAAACCCCCAAAATCTGCATTTTTAACCCCAAAAATCTGCATTTTTACCTCAAAACCTGCAATTTTTACCTCAGGATTTCTTCCCACACCCCAAAATCTGCCCTTTTCACCCCAAAATCTGCCCCCAGGTCCCAAAAATCTGCATTTTTAACCTCAAAATCTGCATTTTTAACCTCAAAACCTGCAATTTTTACCTCAAAATCTGCATTTTTACCTCAAAACCTGCAATTTTTACCTCAAAATCCGCATTTTTAACCTCAAAACCTTCAATTTTTCCCTCAGGATTTCCTCCCG